AGAGTGGTCTTCATTTAACTTTTACTGTTTTAAGATTTTAAAAGGTCACTCTACACAGTTTTGCAGTGTGTTGCATCTTCTCTATCACTTACTTTTGACTCTCTTCTATAGATACTTCAATGGTAGAAGACTCTATGGTGTGAATTGATTTGGAACACTGTCAGTGCAACTTTATCACACATCAGATTTAACTTTCCACCTGCAAAATATTTGACTAACTCATCAGCATCCCTCCCAGGCTTCTGATGGTTCCGTGGATCAGAAGAGGTTGCTGACACCCCTTCAAGGCTTTACTGCTCTAGTATCAGAGCTAGCTGATACTTTTTGCAGATTCTGCGTGCACACGTCATGCCACTGTCCAAAAACAGTAAAACTGTGTGCCAAAAAAACCCACTTTAGCTAATCACATTAAAGAGAGCTCATATCTAGAACCAAATGAGCTGCCAAAAAAAGGCTTTCTGGGGTCAGGTACAGCACCACACAGCATGGCTACACCATGTCTGCAGCCTGAAATACAATGCTACCCTGAAATACAATGTGATAATCCCCTACAGTATTCATCTTAAAAAACAAAAGAGTATGTAAGGAGGACAGAAACCAAGCTGCCTTACCATGAACCTTTAGGTCCCATGTAGACAAACCGATAATCATCCACGCCTATGGCATCCCAGTACTCATTCAGCCAGTCAGATGTGAAATACACAGGAGTTGTGTAAACATCTTCCTCTGGGAAAGCTCTTAAAAACATAATGTGTTGCAAAGAGGTCTCAGAAGAAAAAAATGCACTATTTTGTGTGCATACATTGTTTCCCCAAGCTTAGAAGCAGAGACCATTCAGTCTCTAGCGTGCCACTCCTGGTAGGTAACCACGTTCTTTGTGTTTTCTGTCTAAATATGCAAAATGTAGACAACGGTGCTTTTCTCTCTCCTAAGAAAGCTGTGAAGGTTAAGAATTCTTTGAGAGACTGCTTTTAATCTTGGCAAAGACCCTGATGAAGCTGTTCTGTCTAGGGGTACATCTGCAGGACTGGTTGTCCAGCTGGATGACAGACTGGAGGAATGAATTTTAGGAGGGAAGATGAGGGAAACTGTAAAATGCCTGACCTCTTCCCACATCATATGCCACCCTAGGGCACAGGACAGATACCTGCAAAGCAGGTGGTGGCTGACTTATTTCCACTATTTTAAGTGAAAACTGAAAACGAAGAGTTTCACAGCAAGGGCTGAGCAGAGAAAATGTAGATTAGGAGCAAGGCACATTTACAGAAAAGAAATGAATGAAAAGAGATAAAAACCCTGGACAGACATGGGGAATGCCTGCAGAGTCCAGAGCACTCCCTTACCTGCTCAGGTGCCAGTCCTTCAGGTAAAGGCACCCTCGAGATGATCGGTAGTCATTTCTAATGTACTCATTCCAGTAATTCATGTACTCCTTGAAGGGGATCTGCTCCTTTGGGTTAGAATTGTACTCCTTGACATCACAGTTGGCAACTGGTACTATAGCCTCTCCTGCAAGATAAGCTTTTTGAGTTCATGGGAACAGGACGACTGGTGCTGAAACCCAACTTCTTTAACCTTAAGCTCTGTAACAGGTTTTAATATCTACCACTATCATGCTAAGTACAGTACAAATACATACAGCAGCAA